TGTTGCCGCAGCTCTTACCCTTGCGAAAGCCCTGTGGTGTATGTGTGCAACCCTTGTAATAGGGATTGGGTTAAGTTGGATTGGCCTTGGCATGTTTCTCAGTTTGGAAGAAGTAATAACAGAACCATTGCATTGGCATTGGCTTTTGAAATCCACCCTTCTAAGGGTTTCATTGACACATTCAAGTTGGTGAGAGTTGAGAAAGTTGAAGAAGGAGAACGTTACTTCAAATTTGAATTGTACGAGAAAGGATCGTGGAGGGAATCAAGTGAAATATGCAATTGCTACAACAATTTGGTGAAGAATGAGGGTATATACATAAGGGGTGTCTTGCATTGGCTCACTGATGGTGACCGTGTTCTCACTTTTGACGTTGAGAAGGAGTTGGCCTGGCTTGTGCCGGTGCCGGTGCCCGCGGCGGAGTTCACGGCGGTTCCTGAGGCCTGCATTGGGGAATCTGAAGGGAGGTTGCACTATGTGGTGGTGTCGGAGCAGGGGTTTCATGTGTGGTGGCTTGAGGATTACTATGAGGTTAATTGGAGGCTTGTGTATTCCAAGTGTCTTGAGGAGATTGAAGGGGAGTGGCCTCAGTTCTTTATGAATCTCAGGAACCGTGTGTTGGAGAGGGTCAATGGGCCGTGGGTCAATCCTCTGGCCTTCAAAGATGGATTCTTGCTCATGAAGGTGTGTGTGAGTTTGTACTTGTATGATGTTAACAACAACAAGATGGTTCAAGCTTGCTCCATTAAGGATTTGAGGTCACTCTGCATGTTCAATCCTACTGTGCTTCCTTATTCATTGAGCTTGGTCCCGTTAAGTCCTGCTTAAGAATCTGCCCTTTTTTTTTCCCATGGGTTAAGGTATTAGTAATAGCCAAATAGGCAAATTGTTGATATTTCGGTCGAAACATAGTAGGATCGGTTTGGATAGATTTCTGTTGAAGTATTTCTAAGAAGTAAAAGCAGGAAAAAAATTGAAATAATTTTTTTTTTATAAATTAAAATTAGCTTGTACACAAGTTAAAAATAAGATTTTGAAAAAGTTCTTAAGAGCGAACTTCTACAAATTAACTTGTGTATGGACTAATTTTAGTTTATAAACAAATTTATTTCATTTTTTCTTCTTATTTTTATTTTCTTTGAAAAATTTTATCCAGACATATAAGTAATTACTTTTACTTTATGGTTTTTGCTTTAGCAACTTTGATGTATATAGGACTCATGGAGGTGTTTGGAACACTGCTTTTGTTGGACATTGAATTGGATTGAGACATAAAAATGAATTGATTACTTCGTCTTGGAAATGGACGTCTTTGGTTAATAGTGGTAAAAGAGTTTGAATGAAAACAACAAAATGAAGTGGCTCATACCAAGTTCTTGTATGATCATTCATTCTGTAGAATTTGAGGGCTCGAGTGATGTTTTTTGTGTGGTTTTGCACTTGATACACTTGCCTTAATTTGACTCATCTTTTATGGTCTTCAATGCCTTGCAGAACAAGTTAACACTAAGGTCAACAATTGTTATTGATTATCTAGTGTGATTGAAGAAAGAAGATCCATCATTTGACCAAAAATTTTCTCTAGATAGTCAATCAATGAATCTTGCAACCAAATATCTTATTAGGAACATCCAAAATCTGCTATCTGGTTCTGCATGCAAACATTTCATAAATTATAATTTTAGAATGGAAGGTCAAAGGGGGGTTGATGGAAATAAGTGTGTCTAGGCCATTTAAAAGTTACTCGTAACTTAGCAAGTATTGTTAAAGGTTTAAAGGATAAGCAAACAAAAGTTCATACATCATGGTTCAGAAATTTGAATTTTGTCAATCGTTGTTAAATAGTCTCGTCCAAATTCAAGACACACAAGCTTAGGTGAGTTCTTGTGTCAATTATTTATGTTGTGTCGAAATTCAAGACCAAATTAGATTAGGGTTATCAATTACTTATGTTGTTACGATAATTGCCTGGGATGTTAGAATCCAAAGTATAATTGATTCTTGACGTAGGGTAGAGAGTTAATATAATATATGGTGTAGTGAATCAGTACTTTATGTTAAAAAGTGAGTTATTTTAAGTTTAATAAAATTAAGATGAGATTTTTACAATATATTTTTATTTTTGAAATCACCATAGTTCGTGGTAAAAAAAAATTAGACAATAATTTAACCTTTTATATATACTTGCATATGCGGGCATACAAAATTTAGTAATAACGAATAAAATATTTGTGTATTTGTACATATTATTATTTTGACGCATATTTAAAATACATTTTTTGGTGAAATTAAATTGAATTTTTATAGTGTTAATATAATTAGTTTTGTTTTTCAAAATTGTATACATATAAATATGTTATCATCATTCGTTTTAGGGTGTCCATAAACCCTCCAAACATATTCGTTCAAAATCTTAAGATATTAAGGGACAATCTCACTAACCACAATTTTATACATGCCATGAAATGAGATAATCTCAATCTCCCTCTTAGCTTAAATTATGATCTTGAATGCAAACATGCCTCCTAATACTACTCCTCAAGGTCTTAAAATAAGATCTCCTCTGCAAGTTATCTCTAAATATCATAAATGTTAAGCACCCAAAATTGAAGTTTTTGAAACTAACCCCACATACTTACTATTCTAAAATCTAATGGGTTGGGCTTATAGAGTCCAAACTCACCTTAACCCACCAACATATTTCACAACCCACTCACCCCATCTTATTTTATTATATATAAAACAACCTTTATTTATTTTACAAATTCAATTAATA